TCGGGTCAGAGGCCGCAAAGGCACGACTCGGTCCAATGCTGCGGCGGCAGTTGTCTCCCAAGCCGCCGCCTGATTTTCCGCCGAGTCGTGGACCAGATCCTCCGGATGTGCCATTGTTACTCATTTACTGTAAATTTGTTTCTGGCCATATTGACTGAAGATAATTATGATAAATATTTGTTCTAATATTGTTTTCCACACCAAAATGCAAGATACTTCTTGGTAAGAAAATTCTCTCCTCCCATTCCATTTGTTTACTCTAAGCAAGCAAGCTTATTAGCTCACATTACTTGATATACCAGAGCAGGGGTCTTCAAACTTGGCCCTTTTATGACTTGTGGACTTCAAGTCCCAGAATTCCTCAGCCAGCGTCTGGGAGTTGAAGTCCACAAGTCATAAAAGGGCCAAGTTTGAAGACCCCTGTACCAGAGTGATATAGAGGTTAAGATGTTAGCCTAAGAATGCAGATAGTCAACTTCAAGTCCATCCTCAGCTATAGCAGCTCACTAGGTGAATTTGGACCAGTCACTTAGACCAAACTATCTCAAAGGGCAAAAGATGGAGGCCGGAGTTCTATGTACACTGTTTTCAACTCTGAAGGAAAGGTGTACCTAACAAATACAAATAAAAAGCAAATGCAATCTTTAAACCATTCAGGAAGCAATGTTTTAATGTACTATAGAGCAAACATCGTGTAGTGGTTAAGGTACCAGCTAAAAACTGAGAGACTGCGAGTTCTAGTTCTGACTTAGGCACAGAGCTAGCTCGATGATTTTGGGCAGTGGGCTCTCTCTCAGTCCTAGGAAGAGCAAACCAAAATCCTGCAGGGGCTAGTTGTCAGAAGTCAACCAAAAAATGCAAATCAGGATCCTTCGTTTATCCCTCTCTTCATAGACCAATATTGCTAAACTAGGAATAGAACTAGCTTGGCTCCAATTGAAATCACAACTGAAGATATAGGCCAGAAATTTCAATTAGGTGTAATAGTAAACCAACTCAGGTTGCTTAGTTTCTTTTGCTATCAGGAGTGCGAGGCTGCATGCATACTCTGCCATAATACAGCAGGAACCAGTATTGTGAAGGACTCTTCCTTATGTGATGCAATGTTTGTTATTTGAAAAGGAACAGAAAAGGGAGATAATTACTAAGGTGATTATCTTTAACACAGAATGCATAGCTGGTCTGCACCTGGACCAAAAGACATTTTTTATTTCATGTACACCTCTAGACTGGAATATACAATCAGTTTTACTTCTTAGTTAATGTTTTATTTTAAATGCATCCTTTAGCAAATAAAAGAATGAGAGTAAAAACAATAAAATCTGTCTCTCATTTACTATTTATGGGGGGAAAAAAGAATTGCATACCCAATTGTTAGGCCCACAGTCGTAAGGGCATAAAATGATCCAAAATACTTGAGAAACTCCCGTGTGCCGGCAATTTGCATGGCCATCTGTCTCTCACGCATTTGATTTTGCATCAGAAGTTGCCTTTCTAGCTGAATGTAAAAAAGAAAAAAAAGATTTTACTGATATATTTCAGTAACACAGAATAACAATGTCTTCAGCCTTTATATATTTGGTACCTATTTTCATAATTTCAGGATAAAGAATTATTATCTTAGAATACTTGTTGAAATTTAAAAGATCATACGCTTTTTCAAATTACTGCATAAATATTTGCCTTTTATGTATTTTGGATGACTTAGAAAAATGAGGTTTTCCCATTAACTTCTGACAAAAGAGACAGGAAAATTGTTCAAGCTCTTAATATTATGACAATCTGTTTATCACAGAGGTAGGCAACCTTGGCTCTGTTATGACTCGTGGACTTCAACTCCCAGAATTCCTGAGCCAGCAGGAATTTATTTAAAATATTTATTTAAAAATATTTACAGAACTATCGGCAAATTTGATGATATTTGTTCCAGTGAAAAATATGTTTAGTATAGCACTTAAAACCAGCCTTGATTCATTAGTCATTGATTCACCATGTGTAATTGGTTATCTCTTAATTTATGAATCAGTAAAAATTCCCATTCAAAATTACCAGGGTCACCATCTAATGTCAAAAAAGGTTAACAGCTAGGTGTCAAGTCAATGTAATTACTGCTACAAAGTTCAAATACCCCAATGCAGGAAATGATTAAGTACATAGTTATAGTCTTTGACTTATGACCTGTTACTTAACAACTGTTCAAAAGTTACAATGGATCCTGAAAAAGTAATTTGCAACCCAGATTCAAAGTTCTGATAGCTGCTCCTTCCCCATCGTCACGGGACTGCATTTTGGGTACACTCATCTCACAGTCACATGATCAAAATTTAGAATGTTTTTACTAAAAACTGGCATTTATTCATGATTTCCAGCAAAAAAAAAGGCCCATAGCAAAGAATGGCTTCTCTTAATGACCACTGTAATTGCTTAACAACCCCTGCAAAGAAGGTCATAAAACTGGGTGAGGTCATGTGATGACCTACTTAACAGCCATCATGATTTACAACCATAATTATGCATTCATTCAATTACGGTTGTTAAGTCAAGGACTATCTGTATCTCTATTATATTATCAATCTGTTTTATTTCCTGCATCATAATCCAAATGAGACTTTAGTATGTCACCACGCTGGATCTCAAAACAGTTTCAAATCAGTGCTTTAGCATGCCATGATAGGTTATCATGCTGTACCCTGCTGTTACAGTTTATTAGATATATATGAATGCTCTGGAACTCTCTTAAAGCAACAAATTCTAGATACATGATAAAGTGCTACAGGGCACGGCCTTGAAAGTCTCACTCCCTGTCTGTTTTTTCTTTTTCTTCTCTTCCTCACCCCACTGTGGAGTTAAGGAGCTATATACTTATCTATGAAACCTGGCAGAAAAACAATACTGGAATAAATTTGTTGATCCTGTCGTCAGTGCCCATTCTGTCTCTGTTGGATCTGTCTTATTGTCAAGTGGCGAAGTCCTGATTAAGTGATGATCTCACTTGTTATAAGCAAGGTGACTGGCTTCTCTGACTTTTTGCAGTCCCTTTTTATCATATCATCAGCCAGCACAGAAAAAAAAATCAAATCACTAAGCAGATATGGAGAGTCTGGCTTCAGAACTCACTTTGTCTGCCCTTCCTCCCCACAGTGTAAAACAGTGTAAAATAACAATAATAATAGATACCAGGAGAGCCTATCATTAGGCACCTGAAGGCACCAAGACAGCAATAGATCTAGTAAAGATGTAGACAAATTTTGCCATGCTGTGCAACCATTTAACTCCTCTAAAGCCAAACAAGAGCTGCTGAACAACTATCTCTCTTACCTGGGGATGGGGGTGACTGAAAGTGGCAACAAGAGAGAAATTGGCAAAGAAGCCACACAAAGCCCAGTTCAATATCCCTCATTGTTTTTCAGGACACTATAATGAGGGAAAGCTGTGCATTTATGTAAAGATATAAGCGGAGAAGTCCATTAAAATAAATCATCAATGCAATTTTCTCTGCGTTTTGGGAATCCTAAATAAAACAATGAGGAGATAGGTAAAGAGTGTGAAAGGAATGCAAGAAACAAAAAGCTAGTGGGAAATGGAAATAATGTGAGAAAAATGGGCTCAGTGGAAGCTGGCTAATGGCCAGAGAAAAGGGGCACATCCATGCTTACAAACACTTCTGAATACAAATAGTCCTTGACTTACAACAGTTCATTTAGTGACCGTTCAAAGTTACAATGGCACTGTAAAGAAGTGACTTATGACTTTTTCACACTTACGACCATTGCAGCATTCCCATGGTGACAATCTAAATTCAGACGCTTGGCAACTGACCCATATTTATGATGGTTGCAGTGCCCCAGGGGTCATTTGATCCCCTTTTGTGACCGTCTGACAAGCAAAGTCAATGGGGAATCTAGATTCATTTAATAACCGTGTTACACAGACAACTAAGGTTGAGGATCTTTTGTTGACAGAAAAATTTATTGATTTCAATGTAACTGCCCAGGTAAGTAGACACTGTATTCTAACATTTGTTACCTATGGGTAACAATTTTACATGAGGACATGTGCAGCTTGCTACCCACAATATAAATCATACATTTGTCTTCTAAATAGAACAATATAATATGAATCTCCATTACATAAAAAAAATAACTGGAACTCAATGAGACGTACTTATGAATAGATGATATAGGATTCAGCCTTCCTCTGTGAGAGAGATGGGTAGGTATTAAATATGATAAAATAAATAAAAATGTGTTCTAGTAGCTGTCAATTTGGTATACTTTTATTACCAAGTGAAATATAGCAACTATCTCCCCCTTGGACTTGGACAAAATGAACTTACATGGGCACCTTATTTTATTTTATTTTATTTTTATTTATTTATTTATGGCCTTACTCTAAAAAGAAATCTATTTTTTTTTAAATGTTAGAGAAGATCATACTGTATTTCTAAAATCTTTACATTGTTACAAAGTTCTGTAATGCAAAAACCTACCTGAAGTCGTGAATTCATAAGCATGAATTCCTGCTGATTCTTTAGGTTTTCATTGACAGATTTTGAAAAGATGAATCCCATTTTGATCTATAAGGAGGGAATTCATTGTAACCGTCATTAACAATCTCCCAAACACTTTACACATAATAACGCTATCATATATCTTGAAGAAACCAGAAAATGTGGGTGGACAGTTTTGCTGTGCCTTTAACGATGGTTGCCAACAATAGGCTGAATTTGTAGGAGGGCTGTCAGATCTGAGCTGCAAAAATCCCAGGCCATACAAAGGAATCAAAAACCTACCCAAAACTATAAACTCGGTTCTTCTATCTTAGTGGCGGTGGAGGCATCTGCAGCCCAGCTATGGTTACTCCTACTTCCTGCATACGAAATCATAAATCGCTGTTTACAAACCACAATTGCCGAGAAGGGGGATAGGAGTCCTCGTCCAGAGAATCAGCCTCCGAGCTGCAGTTCGCAAGTCAGACACCCAAACTCACGCGGGCGACGCACGTGCCGCCCACTCTGAGCATCCCAGCCTTCTTGAAGGCCGGGGAATGATGGGAGTTGTAGTCCCAGAGTCTACCGACGCCCAGTCACTGCAAACCACCGCGCATACATCACTGCTCTGCCAAGCCCCAATCGTGCACAAAACGGCGAAGAGAGACCGTGCTTCCCAACCCCTCTCCGTTCTTGGTTTTTCCTTAGCCCGGGGATGTCCAACCCTGACAATTTTAAGGCTCGTGGACTTCAATTCCCAGAAATCCCCAGCCAGCCATGCTGACTGGGCAATTCTGGGAGCTGAAGTCCATAGGTCTTAAAGTTGCCAAGGTTGGACACCCTGCCTTGAGTCCAAACTTTCTCATATTTTACCTTTCCAGGTGATCTTCGCTCACTCAGAATCTCGGCTAGTTGGTTGGCCTAGAATGCAAAGCACTTCCGGGCGCAATTCGCCCAGCGCGGCTGACGAACAGATTGACCGGAGTTTGTTATGGGCGTTAAAAACAGCGAAGGCATTGGAAGCAGTTGTGGAAATCGCCAGCGAGGCAGGGAGGGAGGAAAAGTTCCAGCGCAGAGAGGATCCCGTGCTGTGGTATGCCACTTTTCAGTAACAACAACTAACGAGTGCAACTAACAACCACGGGGGGAAAAAACCATCCGTGTCGGGTTGATAGCTGCCATATGCATCCTCAGGGAGAGTCAGTTGGGGTAAAGATTCTCAGATCAGGCTGCAGACCTCCTCATTTTGCCTTGAGTTGGATTGTGTATGATTCATGCCCGCATCTGTTTGCTCCATAGCCGGCTGGGTGGTGATCAGATAATAAAACTGCATTTTTCTATACACCCTTCCTAAAAAAAAGCAAAGCTCGGTGGTATACCCAACTCTTTGCAACGCCAGTCCTTTCTTGGATGGTGATCAGATAATAAAACTGCATTTTTCTATACACCCTTCCCAAAAAATGCAAAGCTCGGTGGTGTACCCAGCTCTTTGCAACGCCAGTCCTTTCTTGGACGCGTTTGGTGGGGGGGTACTGTTGAGTGTAGCGACGATCGGGGCAACAAGAAACAACCCCCCCCCCCAAAAAAACCTGGAAAACATGCTAAAATAGACTAAACGCTGATAGGAGCTTCGTAGCTCAGAAATGCAACATTAAGTAAAAGTTGCAAGCTTAGACGAGCACTAAGACTGCGCTCAAGTTTGACCTCACAGGGCTGTTGCTGTGTGGAAAACCGGAGGAGGAAGGCGTATGTTCGTTACCTTAAGTAATTTATAAAGATCATAAAGGCGGGATGTAAATAAACTTAAGTTTTAAACCGCTAAAAAGGTCAGGGAGAGAATCCTCCCTTCAGTAGAAGGGTTAAAAAAAAAAGAGAGAGACGCGGCGACGTCCTTGCGGTCGAAGCCCCGCCTTCTTTTATGGGCTGGAAGAGAAACCTGCGTCTATGGCCAAAGCCGATTAGTGACTTGAGGGAAAATGTGGAGGGCATCTCCGGCCACGGCCAGGCTTTTGGCAAGAGGTAAAACATATGAAGAAGGTTGCAGGAATGTAACCAGATAACAATATGTGAAAGACTTTTCTGTCTTCTCACTTGACCCCAGACATATTTTTTTTAACTGAAATGGCAAGGGGTGATCAAAGTCTAACAGCTGTGCTGACTCAGGAATTCTGGGAGTTGTAGTCCACGAGTCATAAAAGAGCCAAGGCTGCCTACCCCTGGTCTAACAGAATAACAGAGTTGGAAGGGATCTTGGAAGTCTTCTAGTCCAACCCCTTGCTCAAGCAGGAGACCCTATACCAGTGGTTCTCAACCTTTTTAATGCCGCAACCCCAACCGGTCGTAAGTCGAGGACTAGACCGGTCGTAAGTCGAGGACTACCCAACCGGTCGTAAGTCGAGGACTTTCCCTGCCCGGGAGCGCCGCGCATGTGTGGTTCCGCCCCCTGCGCCGGCTGAGGCGTAGCTGGCAAGCGGCAGAGACGGAGCAGGCCGACCACCAGCTGGCCCAGCCCAAGGGAGGTAAGGCACCCGCTGGAAAAGGGGAAAAATGGCGGACAAAAAAAATGGCGGACAAAAAAATTGCGGACAGCCTTGCTTGGCGACCCCCGTGAAATGGTCGATCGACCCCAAATGGGGTCCCGACCCACAGGTTGAGAACCACTGCCCTATACCATTCCAGACAAGTGACTGCCCAGTCTCTTCTTGAAAGCCTCCAGTGATAGAGCACTTCTGATGGCAAGCCGTTCCACTGGTTAATTGTTCTCACTGTTAGGAAATTTCTCCTTAGTTCCAGGTTGCTTCTCTCCTTGATTCACTTCCATCCATTGTTTCTTGTCCTGTCTTTTGGTGCTTTGGAAAATAGGTTCATCCCCTCCTCTCTGTTGCAGCCTCTCAAATACTGGAACACTGCTATCATGTCACCCCTAGTCCTTCTTTTCACTAGACTAGACATACCCAATTCCTGCAACCTTCTTCATATGTTTTAGCCTCTAGCCTCCTAAACATCTTTTCTGCACTCTTTCCAGAGTTTCAACATCTTTTTGATAATATGGTGACCCAAACTGGATGCAGTATTCTAAGTGTGGTCTTACTAAAGCTTTACCAAACAGTATTAATACTTAATATGATCTTGATTTTATCATTCTGTTAACACAATCTAGGTTTGGATTGGCTTTTTTGGCTGTTGCCACACGCTGCTGGCTCAAATTTAAATGATTGTCCACTAGGATTCTACGATCCCCTCTCACAACATTTGTTTTTTCTTGTCTAAGTTTAAAACCTTATTTTTTCTGCATTGAATTTCATTTTGTTAGATAGGGCCCAGTGTTCATGTCTGTTAAGATCCATCTGAATTTTGAGTGGGGTGTTGCTTCTGGGATGTTGCTATTACTGCCAGTTTAGTGTCATCTGCAAATTTGATGAGTTTTCTTCCTATTCTGTCATCTAAATCTTTTATGGAGAGGTTGAAGAGTATATGGCCTAAAAGAGAACCTTGGGGGGGTACCCCAAGGCTTACTTCCCTTCATGTAGATGTAATTCTATTAAGGACTACACATTAAATGCAGTGTCAGCCAGTTACAAATCCATCTGGTCATGATACTGTCTATCCCATATTTTTTTTAGCTAGCCAAGAAGTAGGTTGTGATCTACTTTGTTAAATGCATTGCTGAAATCCAAGTAATCTTTGTACGCTGCATTTTGCTGCTCCACTAATTTAGCCACTTTGCCAAAGAATGAAATAAGATTTATTTAGCATAATCCATTTTTGACAAACCTGTGTAAGCTTCTGGTTATAGCTTTGCTTGCTTTTAGGTGTTAGCAGGTCTGTCTGCTTAAACTTTGGGCTGAGAATTATGATGGAACCAGTGAGGTTAGACTGTGTATAAATACACATTAAAACATACATACATGTATATGTATGTAGGAATAAAATAATAGCAATAGCAATAGCACTTAGACTTATATACCACTTCACACTGCTTTAAAGCCCTCTCTAAGCCGTTTACAGGGAGAGGAAAAAGCAGCTCCACCCACTATTTATCCTGCCTCTATTGATCATCAGCCCCTCACAGATTATTATTTGAGGACTAGAAGACCTCCAAGCATCTTTTTAACCTTATGATACTGTGTTCTGTGTAAATAGGATCTATGCACTACAACTTTGATTGGCGTTTGTGAGATGTTTTGTATCAATTGCACACTAGGTGGTGGTATTGCACCTATTATGAGAGCTGAAGTTAATCCAGCAACTACTGATATGCCCCAGTTAAATATCCAGCCTTTGCTCCTATATTTATATTTTATCTCTTCGTCATAAACTAAAGCACAGGGTGGCACCACCAACACTGTGTAAAACTCTCAAATTGATCTGTGCCTTGTGAAAATTATCTATCTTTGGCCAACTTTTGTGACAACTTAGGTAACCAGCCAACATCCCAATTTGATTCAAGACTTGTTTAATGCAGAATAAAGTATTACTGCTTCATGTTTAAAAAGAATTAAGATTAATGGTGGTACAGTGGTTAGAGTGCAGTATTGCAGGTTTACTCTGCCCACAGCCTGGAGTTTGATCACAGTTGACTCAGCCTTCCATTCTTCCGAGGCTAGCTGCTAGTTTTTAAGAAAGAGATACATTTAATACAGTGTTTTTCAAATGTAGCAACCTTAAGATGTGTGGATGTCAACTCCCAGAATTCAGTCAGTAATGTCTACACACTTAAGTCCACACATCATTAAACATTGTTTAGTGTATCAAGAAAACAAACAGGCTCAGAGAGCAGCAAGGACTCCACAGGGTATTTCTTTTTTGCCATCTTGTGAGATATATATGGTTTATCCTATTTAGATATCTACATATCAACCTGGAGAAGTTTATTTGGAGATTGTACCAAGATGCTCTCAATAGGCGAGTGATCCTCAGGTCTAACTCAGCCCTGGGAAGGCAGTAGAGATCTATAGTTCCTATTTGGAGGTGAATGAAAGCAAAAGTGCTGACAGTCGAGAAAATATAGTTGGTTGAAGATCTTTATGGAAGAATGTCATCTGCTTTGGATGGAGCCACAATTGATTGGCAGCTTGGAGAAAGGACTGTTGGCCAATGTTAGAAAAAAATCCATGTCATGGAGCCAAGTTTGAGTCACTAGCCAGTTTAATTCAAAGGATCGAATTAAGGTGAGGAGAGAGAGGCACTGGAAAGCAGGGCTGGTCCCAGGAAAGCATCCAATTGTCTGAGCTGATAAAATTCAGCTTCTTAAGATCTTTTTGATCACTGCTATGCGTGAGACACCAAGGAAAGAGTGAGGAGCAAGCAGGTTGTCTACAACTTCTTGGGGTCCATCTGTCACAGGGTCTTTTTAGGCATGTTACACATCTGACAGGACACATTTGGCTTCTACTAAAAAAGAATGTGTTATTACAGAAACGTGTACGAAAGAAACACAAATCGGAATGAGAATTTTGACTTGTTACAGTTTTACCTTGCCTCTGTATTTG